GTAATCACTATCAGGTTTAATGATTTGTAGAGTAGTATTCTATTTTGCAGTATTAATCCTTTATCAGTCAGTCAGCTAGTAACAACGTAGAACTTCGTACGTACGTATATCAGTTCGAGTTGTTATACCACATTAGCACAACGATGAGGTTGTAGATTCAAATTCCATACTGGTAGAGGTAGTGAAAGTATAAGCAGTAATCGGAAACATTAGGGTTTGAAGGTGTTATTCAAGGAGTATAATACAGTGAAATAAATTTGGAAAGAGAAAAAAAAGAAATGGACATGAAGAATTCAGAAGATTGGAGTTTGAGAGAACACAAAGAGTGGATTCACTTGCGCCATTGCAAATGATTTTGAGCTATGTCATTCAGGGTCTCTAACCATCGGTTGCTATCATCTCGCGGATTCCTACCAGGTAGTCTACACCTATCAACATGTCTTAGTCCACTTGTCAGTGACTCCATGAATTTGTGCCATGTTTTGGTCTGGTCTGGTCGCCCTTACCTTTCTTCCAACCAACTCTTACACCACAAAACATCGCACGTCGAAGCAGTCATTGGTTGGGCATACGTAACATGTCCCAGCCATCTCAACTAATGAAGTTTCACTACTTTGTAGTTATAAGACTATTGAAATGCAGAATAAATACTGAACAGGAACTGCTCTAGTGTTTTTACCCTATGAAGCAGTGACAAAAATACGACTTTCAACCATAAGGTTACAGGTTGAAACTCTTCTCCATCTACTTTAATTTCAGTACTTGGGTTATATCACTACTTCTCATTAATAATACATCATTCACAAGCTACTTTAATATAGTTATAAAGTAGTGAATGTGCTTATTGCTCTAAAAATATAACAATACCATTAATTAGGTATTTGTTTACACATAGTACTTAACATAGTTTAAAAGTGGTTCGATTCTCGTTTCATCACAAATTATTGGTAAACCGGCACAATTTCAATAATTAGCTTAGTATCGCTTATTTAGTGACAATACCTCATTACAGTTTATTCAAATTCATTGCTTTTTATCTTAACAGTGAAGCTCACAACTGTTTTATTGATCGGTTAGGCACCCATATATAACTGGTATTAAATCCCACTGGTATTATTAAGGTACTACTTATCGAAATGCATATTGAATTGAGCGGTTTAATGAATCATAATCCTTTCGAAAATAGCACTGGTATCCACAGCCACTGGACACTCAGTATTAGTTTAACTCGTTGATGGAGTAGTGTGATCCATAATAGCGAAACAAAAAAGACAAAGAACGTAGAAAGCCGACCACCATTGCTTACAAAGATGGTGGATACAATAATTCCCGCTTCATTCTGACTGGTTGCTAAGCTGACTGTCACGTTCACGAAATCGAGTTGCGTTTAATAGCAGCCCTGTTCCACTAACAAGGATAGCACGAATATTATCCAAACGACATGTATATTCTGGCGATCACAGACTTATTTCAATTTCTTTTCAGTTAATCAGTCAATCAAACATAACGTTCAACCTGGTACGTATACACGTCCGTTCATCATGTTATACACTATCAGCACTTAGATATAAAATTGTTGGATGAAATCCTAGAATAGTGGAAGTAGTAGTATAGTAACTATCCTACAACCGATTTTGATTATGGTTAATTTTGTTTAAGCCCATTTTATTAACTTACTTAACAGAGAATGTCATTTGAATAGTAACAATTCACATATGTCTTTGTGCCGTTATGATCACTAGATCACAGGACAGATTCTAGATAAAACGTTGAATGCTTAAATATCACTCCATGATTCATTCTCTTCCTCATGTATATGTGATCTCAAATCTTATTATTAGCCTTTACCTAACTGCGCCCTTATGCAATTTAACCATAAGTTTGCCTATGTAATTTCTCTCATATACTTATTCGTCTGTCCCCTCCAAATGTGCTCTATTTGCTTATAGTTTTGTAATCTGCGCTATCCGTTAATAAACTGTAGTTGCCTCTTCTTATTATCTTCTGATTTTAATCACCGTTGAGATTTATAATATAACGGTTATCGAGGTGATCGATTAACGAAGCAAAGCCGCTACAATAGTAACAGTTTTAGTGGTATTATAAAAGATTAGGCATCGAATATATGGTTTTAAAAAAAATACAAATCCGTAAATTAAAACATAATTATGAGCAATTCAGAAACTTGCACCGGTGCAATTCTAAACGATTTTGATACATGTCATTCAAAGTCTCTAACCAGTAGTTATGATGATCATACAGACCTCAACCAGGTAGTCTACACCTGTTAACATGGCTAAGTCCATATGTTATTGACCTCATGGACTGATCCTATGTTTCGGTTTGGCCACCCCTATCATCCCTCCAACCAAACCCTACACTAGTCGACATCACCCCCAATAAGGTAACAGGTGGTTGAGCATATGTAACACATGTCCCAACCACCTCAGCTAATGAAGATCTACTATCTCATTCCTAACCTAAGCATTGCTTACTCGATGGTTCCAAAATTAAACTCTCATGTTTAAATTTTTTCTGGTTAAAATGTCCGTATACACTGGTTTCAAAAGAACACTTCAGCACTATACATATACTACTAATAATAATAAAGTATAAAATAATCCCCTTAAAACATTATGCAGAAGAATGTAGACAGTTTCATTTCACAAATCACTAAGGTGTAGCTTTTGAAAAATAACAGGATCAATCCATTATTATAGTTTCGAAGCAGGATATTCAAGGTATTAAGAAATTAACACTTTAAACCTTGTTACGATATTCAGATGTACCATTCAATATGACCGCTGAATTTTTTTTATTGTAAACAAGCAGGATTTCTATATAATGATCAATTTGCTAATGTAACTCACGAATTACATAAATAGCTTTAAGCAAGTCTTTTTTCTCGTTTGAAGACTAGTGGTACTAACTGTTATGTCCGAGCGAAGATTAAATCACGAGTAACTTCTGCTGAGACATATTCATTGACTAATATTATCTATACAGTCTTATGGTATAATTATTCAATAATTAGATTATGTATATTTATATTCCTCTTATTATAAGCTTTATTTTGTCCTCTATATTACTATTGTACGATATGCTGTTCTAAAGCTACGTTCAGTTTATTAACTACTCCCTCTCACGTTCACAGCCACTTTTTGGCTTTATTGTGTACAAATGTTATTTCCTATTTTATGGTGCGTTGCGGTCTGTTTGTTTGATATATAAACCCAGTATGTCTGAAATAAATGATTCGCATAGTAAAGGCTGTTATTGGCATTCTGGACTCAGCTGGACGGGCTAGACGAGCAACGAACTAATAGGACGCTAGGCTGATCAGACCAGTCGAACGTCATTGGTTTGGCACAGTGCAAAGATTGTATAAGTCGTATTTTGATTGGTGGATAAATCACTTGATAAAAAGCCGAACGTGAAGTAATAACACTAACCAGCTCTGTAAATTATTACAAATAAGCTGAAGTTCGAAATTATGATGTAATGTTTGAAATTTAAACGTTGTAACTTCTAAACTAACCCTCAGTTATTCACAATATTTAGAAGTAACCAAGACAAATTGTCCGGTCACTATTTACTCAGATATAATTGTAAGTAACTTTTATATATTCAATTTCCTTTATCTTTCTGTGTTTCTATGGTTCTCAGATATTGTTGAGATGCTTTGTAATTTTCTGCTTGAATACACTCGATTATTCCCACTAGTGTTCTTGTTCACTACACTTCAAGTATTACTTTCCTGATTAGCGTTTTGTTTTTTTAACGAGTTAGTTTTCTACGAGATGAGGTCGCTAATCCCCCCTTCCATATCCAACCCTCGCGGTTTACCCAAGTTTGAAACCGGTACTAATTGTAGAAGAGCCACAGGAAGAATTCTTCAAGTGTATATTTATAAATGTGTTCAGTCAGCTACAACGTAGGACCAGGCACATATATTCATCGGTCCAAGTTGCCATACCTCATTAACACAACAAGATGAACACCGGATCCATAGAAGTAGTTAGTTCAATGGTGGTAATATATAAAAGAAAGATTGCATGTAAGGATATAGTACAGGAAGAAAGAATTAGTACGTAGAAAGAAAGAGTTGAAGCGATTTTAATCTCTTAGTTTAAGGGAAGACAGAGAGTGTATACACCGACGCCATTGGGATCGATTCTGAGCCATGTCACACAGAGTCTCCGACCACTGATTACGATAGTCACGCGGACCTCAGCCAAATATTCTGCATCTACCAACATGGATAAGACTAGAAGTTAGTGACTTCAAGCAATGATGCCACCTTTTGGTTTGACCGCCCCTAACTTTCTTCCAACCATCCCCAACACTAGTCAGCATTGCGCGTCATAGTAATCGGTGTTCAGGCATATGTAACATGTGACCCAACCATCTCAGTCGATGAAGATTCACAACCTCATCAACTGATTTACCACTATTATTCCCTGATACCCTGTGTCTAACCTCACTATTACTTACCCGGTGATCACAGCAGATACTGGCAATATTTCTAAGACATCTGTGATCAAATAATAGTAACTTAAGAGTATCCTTTACCTTCAGTAGTCACGTTTCGCAGCCGTAAAAGAGAACAGAAAGAAGTGCTGCGCAGTATACTCGTTCCTTAATTAATAGACGGATATCTCGCCTTCGCCATAGGTGACGTAATTTGCCAAAAACCAAACGAGCTTTTCAAATCCATGCTGAGATTTCGTCCGATACCAACCCATTAGGGCTGATCAGACTTCTAAGATAACTGAAGTTGTCAACGCGTTCGACTACTTCACTCCCTATCCTTAGTTCAGGTGTTGACGCAGACCACTCCTAAAGCAACAACTTGCATTTAGAGGGAGAGAAGCACATTCCAAACATTCTGGCATTGTTGCTTAGTACTACCATTTTATAAGCGTCTTCACGAAACATATGTGTTACTCTTCCGTTTCAGTTTATTTCCTTTTAAAACAAAATAAAACAATCTATTCATTGTGAAAGATAGAATAAATTTAATAGGATAAGATAGTAAGTACAACATCATTTATATATACAAATAATTAAATATTATTTGTAAGTGTTTCAAAATTACGATTTATTTTAGGTCGTTTTTTCATTGATTTTAATGAATAATCATTTAATTTCGAATTATTTGAAGAGTTTTCATTGATTGAATGAGAAGATGATAATATACTATGATGATTATTATCTTTATGTAAACTATTAGACGTTTTACATATAGACTGACGATGTTCTTTTGATAATAAAGTTTGAATAGAACAAGGAGTAAATCGTTTTTCATCATAAGTAATAATTAAATGATCTAAATGATGATCTATATTTCGTTTAGATTTAGTGATTTTATCATTTAAATTAACTTTTTCTTTTGATAAATTACGATTATCATTATCATCACCATCATCGTCATCAACATTATTATCAATAGAAGGAAGGATAGATTCAACTAAATCATCAGTCAATTCCTTTCGATGATATTTTGGCATAAGATGATCATAATAAAGATTTACAATATGTTCTAATGTATTTACATTTGATACCTACTTTTTCAAATAAAGAAACAACAACAAAAAAACATTTTCTAGCAAGAAAGGAATTAGTTAAGTAAAGGAATTTGAAATAACTAATCAAACAAAGTACAAATATTATTGATAAGTAATAAGAACTGTATATAACACACACACACCTTTTTTTCTTCCAAACTGAGTGACGATCGGATAAAGTTCATATTGTTATAATTCTAGGTTATATATATTATGAAGTCGTCAAAATAAAAGACAGAGTAGCTTAAATAATTCATATCAAATAATTAGAAGTTAAATAATGAGTCACTGACTAATATGGGACTGCATCTCCTTACGATGCTCCACTGCCTTGTAGATCAGACCTTCAGGTCGAAGGCTCGAGGAGTGGCCCCCTAAGAAAACCATCTGCTTCGGTCTGGGCACCCGGGCAGTATCACAGCCCTCACACATATCGAATGAGATTTGTGTGGCGCATATGTATTTGGTGTTTCTTTGTACCAATATCTATGTGTTGAAATAAATAAATAAATAATAAATTTTTTGTGAGGATTTCAAGAAAATGACAAATAGTTACTAGAAGAGCATCATATAAACCAATGCAGTTTTGTAAAGCTTTCAAGATTGTTACCAAGTAACCTGATAGTGATAATTGTCTTCCAGGAAATAACGCCTCACAATTTATATAGAACTACATTGTAGACTAATCAAAAACTTACCATTAACGTGTGAAACCGGGGACATTCAATGTGTAAAACATAATCCTAAGAGACTAGGATCCCAAAATTTTTGAAATGATTTTGAACATATTTGACATTTCACACTTCTTAAATTTAAGACTTTAGTCTTAAACTGGGTTTCATTTAATACTCATTTTGATATCAGGAGACAAAATAGTTGGCTTTATTAACATTAACTCTTAGCGACCGTAAATTTGAGCATATGCGATAATAATCAATACTTAAACTGACGGGCAGAGATATCAAAAGTTAGACAAGGAGTTGATCCGGCTCTAATTCATGAGCAGTGATGTTCGACTTTCAGCCACTTAGTTGGAGATCCGAATCCCGCTCTATCTACAGGACGGGGTAGTAACACCAGCCTTCACAATTAATGTGATTTGAAGAAAAATACTCAGATTTGTATATGGTGGATTAGTTTTGAAAAAAATCACGAGCTACCCATCCGAATACCTGGGATTCATTTGCCTTTGACACTTTCTTTCTCTGTGATATACGGATAATAAACACCAAGCTTTTAAGTATTTTGTCACAGGTTTTAGTCGTCCCCTATATTAGGTTTATGTAACCTAATGGAAGGCTGAATATTCTACGGTAGTTGTGAATGAGTGCTTAGAATCCAAACATGGAAAGTTCGAACTAATAGCATATAAAGCCCGATTACACAGCAATTCACTCACTAAAGATTTGAAACCTCGACGTTCAAATATTTCTAGTAGTTGATCTATTGACATCTGTTCTGGATAATATAAATCAACAGTAACACCACATCTGGGCAAATATTCTGAAACCTTTGGCTTTGATTCATTCTTGTCTACTTTTTTCATCTGGTCTAAAATCTGGAAATCCAAAACTCTTTGAAATATATAAAATTTTAGTGTTGACATTTTGTGAAAATATATGAGGTGAACATAATAAGATTAACATAGTTGATTTCAATGCATATATAGTCTGTATAAGATCTGTTCAAAGACCTTAATAGCACTACCCATAGATGATATATTTTAATTGGCTTCGACAGATGAGAGATCACACAATCCCCAAACTAAACAAGGAACGCATCAAAATTTAGGTGTTCTTTTTCCAGAACGTTTAAAATAGTAAGCCTGACAGTATTTCACAATACATTCCTAAACTTTATAGTAACATAATAATTCTTAAATTATGTAACGACTAAGCATGGTAGCATGTAGTGCTAAAAAAACCAACAGGCAGACGTATGCAAAAGTCCACGTGGGTTGTATTTAGTTTGTTGAGATAAATGAAGTCAATTATTGCATGGCGTCACACAATTTACCCCACTACCACGATTCTCGTAGCAAGGTTTAGATACACCAGTGCCAATGAATAGTTGACTAGATGAAAGAACTGCCACCCATATTCATAGAATATGACATGCCAATTTTTGAGGTTTTTACTCTTAAACAGTGAATTAAGTACTATCGTGGTAGGGATGGTTCCTTTTGGAAAATAACGGTGAATATTCGCCGTTAAGTCAGCAGTGAAAATTAAGTTCTGAATAAATACCATCAAACGACATCTTAACAATGCACATCAATTAAAAATTTTCAGTGTCTAACTACTTGCTGTTACACTATTAAGTGTTCGACAATTAACAGCCTGCCTCAACTGTTCACTCTCAAGGTCATTATTTGAAACACACAAGTTCGTTTACAATATCCAATGTGTGACACGAGCATGCATAAACCGATCAATTTCTTTGAGCTCTTTCGTTGTAATAATGGTGTAGTTCGTGTTCTTTTTTGTGCTCAACAAAAGGTATATAGATGTTCGACTGCATTAGTTCTAGTCAACTTGACAGTTATATATGGATTTGCGAATTTTGTAGGTTGAGTAAGTTTGTCTCAGGACAATAGGGTTTCTGGATAACAGTGGCTACCACATTATCACGCAGCAGGTTGGTTAGTTTCAATGTGAAAAAACGACAAGCAAGGAAATTAGAGAAGATTTTTGCTTCAAGAATAACAAATAGGTTAATTGGTTAGTAATACAGACAGAATCCTTCAGGGAGAATTTCCTCTAATCCGAGGCTCTTCTTCTTTGACCACAACAGGAGTACTGTATCTGAGCTAAATCAGGATCTACTCTTTTCAGATATGAGCTTTGTTTGAAGAACGTCGTCTGAGATATAATCCGGAATACTATCCCTTACTATCTCCTAGTAGTTATCCATTGTTAGCCTCCACCACTCTCAAACATGAGGTGGGTTGAAGATTCTGCATCATTATCGGCTAGTCTGTCGTAATGTTGCTAGATTAGTAAGCGTCCTTGCTCTAACTATGTATCTCGTTTGTAAACACTCCAAACTTCACTGTACTATGATCAGTACTTCCTATTGATATGTAGACATGCTCCTTCAAATAGAAGATTATCTCTTGTGATCAAAAAATTCAAGTATGGGGTTTTCCCATCATTATACCAACTTGTTGCATCATACATATGTTTGCCAAGTCACAAACTTCTAATGGCTGTGGCAAGTCGCTTATGGAACGACTGTGTAGTGAATTTATCCATCATGTTTTGTTTTATCGATTTGTTGTTCTCAACCCTACCGATTTAGGTCGGCTCTGACAACGTCTGATACGATTGGAAAGGTCCTTTTTAGACTGTGCATCAGTTAAGCTCCCTGGGTTTCTAAATTTTACAGCCATCAGACACAAGTAATTAATGATTGTTAGATGTAATTGGCAAAGTAAAGTCGGCATGCTAATTGTCATAGTTATGTGAAGGACTAGGCAACGGATGATCAACGTAAACTCCGGGTATCGTTCACGCAAGCCTCATCATGAATACTACCAACCAACTCAAAAACTTCGTGGGACACCATACTAGTTGGATTATTTTTGCCAATATTTTAGTAGTGTGTAACTTGTATGTTTGAGGGTCGTTTATTCTAAGGTCCCTGGAAAGCCATTGACGTTTCTGTGAATTGCGCTGGATTTTCCGTTTCGCTTAATAGAGTGGGTTTACTCTTAGCTGACTTTCGACCTTAATACAGGTGGCATACTATTCCTGAAGTGACACCCTTTCCGAGAATATCACAGCATTAGTTCCACCGTTCTTGATCATATGTTAGCCTACTTTCTGGTAAGCTAGAACAGTTATTATAATAAGGAAGTTTTGTGAAAGTTCCCTGCCTCCCATTTTTAAAATTTCGGGAATTATGATGATGTCATCTCCCATCCCCAAACCCACCCACTGATCCATATTGCTAACATACAATACGGTATTGGTATCATTCTGTTATTTTTTATCGTATGAGTTGGGTCGCGACTTCTGTAATCACGTGTTGGTTGAGTCTGTATTGGATGAATTGAGCATAATGCTGGTAAACGATGCAGTACTTTTCAAAGGTGATTTATGGTTCTATTTTATTAGTTATACTGGTACAATATTTTATCACTGATCAAACTTATTGCAACCACGTGTAGTCCCGACCTAACATAAACCCGTAGTGATATCTAGGTATTTATGCATCACAGCGGTTCAAGCTGTCATGTAAATCTCATTCGAGCGTTGAGTTGCTGGTTTTAAAGAGCGACGAGCTTGCAAGATAATCATCATCTGTTTGTTGTAAATGCTGCGCTACTGGCGATGTGTCGACCATAATATCGATAATCGGTCTGAAATGAAGAATCTAGTTTATTCGATTAGATCTATAGCATAGAGAGTGACTTGAACTTATTTACAACGAAGTACAAACTCTGTTTTCAACTTCAATGATTCTAACTTGAGAAAAAAATCAAATTATATCAAGAGTACAAGATACCTGAAACTATATACGTTGGGCTATACATTCAAAGCTTTCTCTAGAAAAATGTAACGCGTTGAACAGTAAAAGTAATAGTTAATAGAGTTGGATACCTGAGAACAAATAAAAATATTCCCCACAAGATTGGGTCTGATAACTGTTTACAAGAACTTTGGTAGCTTTTACCACCAGATAGTTAAATGTTGATAACCATATACTGAACCATTCCGTAACTTTGCGTTTAGAACAACACATATAAGCGAACAATTGTTTTCAATTAGATCGTCAGCAGGCTTTACTCTAATATACATTAATATTTATACGAAAATGTAAACCAATCAAGGCAATATGGGTCAATAATCACAATGAAATAGAATACGTCTCTACACATAATCAGTATAAGTAATAGTTTATAGTAGGAAAACAGGTAAACTGATCATAGTAAGAATAATAAAATATGATCACAAAAGTCTTATCAATCGTTAAACGTTGGAAATAGAAGGTCAAACATAGGTTAATAGACTAGGAATAGTAATCACAAAACATTAAAATCACTACGTAATAAGAAGTGTGTAAATAATTAGATAGTGAAGAATACAAAGAGGCGGAAAATTACAAACAAATAATGGATGTGGAAATAAGGTTAATGATAACAAAATAGGATAAAATAAATAAATAGTGATAACAATAAAATAAAAATTAAAAAAATCGTTAGTTGAGCTATAACTGGCCGTGGAAGGGATATGTTGGTTATGAATTTCTTCTTTACACATAAATTGAGGTTATATGTACGAATTTCAATGGCTTCAGCTATATGTAGAAGGCGGGAACGAGCTCCGTTGGGAAAGGATGGAGGTAAACGGTAGATATACTCGAAATGATTTCGATTAATCTTTCGTGCCTATAGGTAACCCTCGTACTATTGATAGAAGAAACACGAGAAGTTGTGAGTACGTGTTTATTTCGATCTTAGCGCAGTCACAGTGGAGCGTGGGATTATCTGTTCAGACAAACAAAGGCTTTCAGCATTCAATATAAGATAATAAGGAATATAACGATTATACAAAATAAGGAAGTGAATGAATACTTGAACAATACTGTTTTGGCATATGCTTGGTTGTTTGGGGTCAACTCTTAACCAACCAACCTATGCTGTTACATTAGCTTCCCCCTAGAATCGACTTCCGTAGGAACGTCGGTTCGATTAACCTATCTATCAAAAACACCTTAGTTTTATTCCTCATTCCAAGGGAAAGTTATCAACTCACTCAATGTTTGACTTACAATAAGTGGCAACTAACGCTGTCAACGGTAGTCCATGGATGTCTCTTCATTTACTAGCTTGTCATCTTATTTAGTAGCATGTGATTTCTTCTACAACTATAGCTGACGGTTTACTGAGTGCTTTCATGAGAAAGAGTGTTAAACTGTGGAATAAGAATATCTGAGGAAGTGCCGCGAGCGGGCTACCCAACACCACGTTGGTTGGGTACGATTTTTCCATGCTCAGACCGGCTATCAGGTGTTTACTCACCTGCCTCTTGAGTCGCCCTCAAGTAAAAAGTAAAGAAGAATCTACTTCAAAGGTAATGGTGAAAACCAATCAAACCTAAAGAACCGCTCCACTGCCTGCATCAAAATAATAAGATACAAAATGGAAATACATAAACATAATTGATAATTGTTCGGTTCCACGTAAGTGATTGGCCTCCAGAACGGATTGGTATTCTGGAAGAAAATAGACATAGTGTAGCCATCTTGTGTACGAAAAGGTATGAAAACAAATAAAATCCTTTTTTATAATGTATAAATGTAAAAGTGTAAACTTGCTAGAAGTTGGACTCATTGTCAAACCCGTTCAAATGTGTGACCTTGGGAATGTGACAACCGCCTTTTCTAACCAGGTACGTAACCAAGGGTGCATAATTTTACTCCATAAAACGGAAGAGAATATACGGTTAAAGAGGGGAGAAAATTGTGTAGAGTATGAGGATCAAGTACAGTTGTGTCAAATACTCTTTTCTGGTTTGATTTAAATATGTATGATATACTGAGGCAATATTTCGTCAATTAATCAAAGTAACGAATTTGTCTGCACCTTAGAAGTGTGTAAGTCCTATTACTCATTAGTATTATGAATGAATAATTGGTAAAAGGAAAGATTGCAGTCACCCCTCGTGGTCTGATGTGGCCTAATGGCTAGGCACGCGGTCTAGCATTCAGAAGGGCTGAGGTTCGAGTGCGTGTGGGTCATGCGTTTTTGTTCATCGAAACCCCCTTCAATACGATGTTTATTGGCCATAAGTTGCTCAGATATGAGAGAAAAATAACAGGAGGACTGGTTGATATATCAGAATGCCATATTGGAACAGTACACGTTCTTTGTTTGGATTACTAATAATACCATAGAAAAAAAAATCTACAAGTTTTGTAATTTCCATTTTACGTTATACTTAAACCGAGAGAAAAAGTATATATATATATAAGTTACTGACATAACATGTCTTTTTTATAACGCTAGTGTTAAGTTCCAGGGTTTTGTCAGGACCACTAATAATAATTGGTTTAACGTTAACATAGCTATGATAGTCATATCGTTAGTTCAATGTTATGATTACTTAAGAGTTCCTTTATAAGTTGTGTTTAAAATTAGGTATGCGGAATCAATGCGGCTAACATAGTAACCTTACCGTAACGCACTGTACTATATCTCCACGGTTATTGATTCTTAAATGTCAGAATTTTAAAAAAAAATCTGAATATTGCCAATAAAGATGGGTTATATGATTACACTAAAAAGCATGCTGCAGGAAAACTGGTTAAGTCATTATATAAGTTTCCTAAACATGAAAAAAAATGATGAGAACTTTAATAAGTACTTGGCCATGGTTTAATCAAAAATG